CATTTCAATGTTACGGCATGTCGTACCGTGTTCGTGCTGTAACTCAGCTGTACCGTATGTTTCCCACTTATACGATAACCATTCTTATGGGAAGCCATTTCAAGCTGTAAGTCAGTACCGTATGTTTCCCACTCATGCGATAACTATTTCCATTTCTTTAWTGTCGAGTCTAGAAATCAAATCCCTAGACCAAACAGCCGTATGTGAGAGGACAGTGCACTATCTGCTACGCTACCCTTGATTCCTAATAGCTCGTCACGTCAYTTCTTACCCCTGCAACCTTAATTGTGGGGGAATAACTTTATTTTTCTTCACAAATGATAATATAATAGTCGATAGTGCAAGAAAACACAGAACAGATTTCACAAGAAGACATGTGACTTTATTGCACTTCATTTGGTGATTCTTATTTATTTATAACGACTCTTTTTTCTGAGACAGACGATCAAAACTATGAAAAATTACATGGCTTAATCTTATTGTGACTTGCACAAGAGGCTTACACTGATAGCTAACCTTTTTGCAAGAGTGTCTTTTTTATAGTCTTGTACTAGTAATTATAAATAAAAACCTTAGAAACAACAATATACAGTTTGGTAGAGGGACGCACCCAGGAAGGAATTGAGGGGCAAACCCGCGAGATCTAGTGTTGAAATTTAAGTGTATTCGTATGTGTAACTCGTTCTTGAAGAAAAAAAGTTTTAGTAGTGTGGAAGGTACGGAAAATAGCACCGAATTTTTGTTTCTCATCTTACGAAATCTGTGTGTGTAACTGAATTAAAAGTCGAAATTAGGCCTACTACGAGGGTCCCATACATAGCCCCATCTAAGTTCGTCCCTGGTAAACCTATAGTCAAATATCTTATTAACAAATTAGATCCGGGTTCTCAGGTTATTCTCCCTCCTTGAAAATCAACTACTAAATTCTAATTCGATGTTTGGGCTTTCGCTACAGGTGTAGCTTAGGGCTCTGTTGTGATTATTGCTCCGTGCTGTGATATAACAGCCGCAGTTTGCATAAAAAAGCTATGAAATTATTACCCATGATCCTTAAAGATTCATTTTAGGTTTCGGCTACCGGCTTTTTTGCTGACTAACTATATTAAGCTGTTTGATATTCATAATTTGATTTGAAAAACATATGTAAGCATGCATTCGTAGAAAATGAAAGCAAAATTGAATTGACGAATT